TATTTTATTTTAAATGGTACACTTTATGTTGAACTATTTATTACGTTGTTGGTGCAACTGGCACTTTATGTTGAACTGTTTATTGTTTTGGCCAAGGTTATTGAGAGAGTTGGACTGAAATTGATTAGATTTTTTAAATCAACTGTTGGTAAATCAACAAAGTCTGTTATGGTCTCTGAAGCAACAGAGAGATGTTTTCTAATAGTCAGGGTTTCCAATGTTCTGAATGTACTTGAAAGTATTGTGTTTTACTTAAAAAACAAAGTGTTATAGTTTACAGAAGGTCTACCTACCTATAGGCTACCTGAATCTCTGAAATGTACTATATTCCTAAATATGCTATTGCTACACTTTATGGCAAAAATTGCACTTTTCTGTTGGTCTTGGTTAAGTACCACCTTGAAAAAAATAAACAATGTTTTGTTGCTTAAGCTTATGTATTCAGTCATTATTCAATGGTATACTAAAATCCATGTGAAAAAAATTGCTTCTCACTGTTCTCAGGTCAAATATTTATATGTGATTAAAAATGCGATTAATTTCGATTAATTAATTACAAAGCCTCTAATTAATTAGATACATTTTTTTTAATCGAGTCCCGGCCCTAATATATATGTTTTAAAGAACTACCACGGTGTATAGAGCATCAGTTATATAATTTATGATGAACTGACAACAGGGTATAAATAACTATTAATAAAATAATCAGAAATACATTAGCACTGGTTTTTTTCAAACATAATATCCGCCATTTTTTAAAGAGGAGAATGAAAATATAATATTTGAGTAGCACAATAAAGACATCTTACCCTCTGTAAGGTTTTCTTCTCCCAAAAACGTTTCATAGAAATTGATGTTTTTCAGCAGACTGTTTTCAGACAGAGCCTTCTTCACCGCCTCCGGTTTGCTCTGAAGCAATCTGAAAAGAGAAAACGGCTTTCTTACTAAAGCAGAACCATCTGGAATTGGATGTACAAACTATAAACGCTTTTAAAAATTTGCTAAACAATGTGTATTAATTCAAAGCTGTTGAAACCAGGCAGCTGCAAAGGGGTTCCAGAAACAGTCAGGGGCCCATAGCTGCCGACTTGTTATTAAAAGGGGAACCTCTAATGCATCGACTGTTTCACTCAGCCATCTGGGTAACCATTGACAACAATATTGAAATTCCTAAATAAAGCTACATCTATATATACCCTGCAGTTTTGTATTTTTTTGTACCTTGATAGTGTGTCCTTGATTTATTTGTTGGGAAATGTTCCTAAACTGCATGTTTTATTGAAAGAAAAACAGTATATCTACATACACTTACATTTAGTTGCTTTCCTCAAAAGTTATCAAGGAAATATTGTGTTAGAACATTGGTCCCTTGCCTTGTTCCCTGTCTTATGAGATAGTGAATGTTGATACTGAATTCAATACATGTGTTTTATGGATTTTCTTAATTGCTACTTGTTTTATTCTTAATGACATTCTGTATACCTGTATCTACAGTTGTGTTGATTTGTTAGTGTAAGCTGCCTTATGCTATTTCAGAAGTTGGAATGATGGAACAAATTGGCTGTAGATTGAGGCAAAACTTTAATTGCATCAGGGCCAATCACAATTACGGAGTTTCACATAAATATAAATTTGTGAATAACAAATAATACATGACTATGATGTTATTGTGGAAATAATAAAGGATATATTAAAGGAACTGCTTGTTTGATAAATGTCAACTTCCTCTACATTCTTCCTCCTCCTACTACCACTACTCCCATACACGCCAACATCAATCAATCAATGTTTATTTATATAGCCCAATATCACAAATGTTACATTTGTCTCAGTGGACTTCACAGTTTGTACAGAATATCAGTATGACTCTTTTAGCAAGTTTACTGAACTAAGCGTCTGAAGGCCTCACCTCCTGTACTGCTGCCTGGAAACCTCATCTCCACAAAACAGGCAGACGGTAGCCAGCATTGCATTGGCCGACTGACATAGGGCTTGTTCTCTTTGAGTGGACTTTATTAGTACAGTTATCACCTGAAAACACAAGCAAATATTAGTAAGAAGGTCATATTTCTGCAAGAAATGTCCAACGACTAAAAAGGAGTACTGTTTCAAAAGCAAACAACATGGCTGAAACTGTGGATGTGGAACTTTTTGTTGAAGCTGCTATCGCATCAGAATTGAAAGAAGTGGGAGGGATATTTTTGTTAAAAGAACAATTGTTGAACATAAAAGATTAAAAACTATAGTGCAGGGACTGTCCCATTATTCTGGATCAATGGGTCCTCAGCACACCAACCCATATTGATAACTCTTAACAATGCTCCTTGAAATATAAAATGAGGATTTTAAGTTTAAAGCTAGACTTATGGTCGTCATACTTGAGTTAACAATGACGTGATTGTGTATTTTGTGAAAAGCACGTAGGCTTAGCAAGTAGTCGTGGCGCTTGTTGATGCAAGTGGAGCATTTAATACAGGATTGCCACAAATACTGATACTTTAAGCAGTAAAGATAAGTACCACATTTTCCACAGTCATGTCACAAGATTTAAGAAATTCAATACCAATTAGAGGTTCTAATAAATCTACATTAGAGTTTTTTTTATTCTAGCGAGCAGTTGTTTACAGGATATTCAATCTTCATTTCCACATAAAACATTTGTTGTTCAAATAATATACTTATAAATACACAAATGGATAAAATATTTCTATGCATATTGGCAGGGGGGGCCGTGGGGCCTCATCTGATGCGCAAATGCGGCGCAATAAAGCGCGCCACAGTTTCGCCGCTGCGAGGCTCCGGCACTCGCAGTTCGCGCACCACTAGCAACTCCGTGGCAGCCCACATGACTATGAAAAAGGATTAATATGTATTTGCGATTTGATCTGATGATGTGATGCTAACAGACACTAGCCAAGTCCAAATCAAGGGCATTTTTTTGTCTCATGGTTTACTTCTCTTAATTTTTTTTATTTAGGGCTGGGCAAGTTAACGCGTTATCGCGTCTACGCATTAATTAATTAACCCCGACAATTATTTTATTGCGCATTAACAGTTTTTGTATTAATATTATAATTTTTGAAAGTCAGTTTCTCACTGGCTCTGAATACACATACAGACAAACCATTGGGTCACAGGAGGGGTGGGATGTTGATCAGTATTGGCTTAGGATGGGAGACATTACAAGTCTCAACCAATGAGAGCATAGGGGGTGGGCCTAATGCTGCAGCAGCACTAACATTAACAAACTCTTACATGAACATCTCTTCAGACGGCGGAGTTGATAGAACCAGAGTTATCACTGGATTGAGGGCAACTTGTTTTTCTATAAGAAACTAGATCAAACATTAATGCCCTGGCAAATACCTTTGGTTTTATATTTGATAACATTAATTAATGTTGAAGTTGAGATCTACAAGAAATAAAAAGAGAGGGGAAATAGAAAGGGAATACTGTTGTTAAAATGCACCTTATGTTTAAAAGTCTCCTATTGTGCTATTTTTAGGCACATATTATGGGTCTCAGATATATACAAATAAATAAAAAACATGTCTATGATGTGTTTTGCTCAAAATACCAAACAGATCATGCATTTTAGACATCCCTCATATCCCTCTGTTTTAGCCCTGTTAGAAAACTGCAGGTTTGGGTTCTTAGCTTGAAAAACAAAAAAAGAGGAGGGGGAACTAATGCCTGCTCAGAATTACCCAGCAGATTCAGCTCAATGCTGCCGTGATTAAACGCCATATCATGTTCCAAACCACATCAGGGATTATTTCTGAAACAGTATGGAGCTCAAATGCTTCTTCTCTTGCGGGTTTACCACAAGGTGAGTTCCTTTTTTTATATCATGCTTTTAAACACATGTAGTCTCTCCAGTACAGGTTAGCTTCGAGTGTTAGCGATGCTTGCGAATATAAACACAGACCATATTACATCCAAAACAGTCGGGCAGTTGTTTCTGATAGCAACTTTCTGGTAGTGCTGTGGGTCCGCATGTCCGATATTACGTCATATTGGACGTAAATCTGGATCAGCTCCGTTGTACCCCCGTTTTTTCGAGATTCGGGTACGGAGGAAAAGAGAGAGGGTTTTATTTTCTGACACTTTGTTAGTTCCCTGACACACCGGGGACACATATTTATGTATAAAAGACATCAAAAAGTGCATTCTGGGTCCCCTTTAAAGTGTTTGCAAACCAAATATTACTGCACTTTTGTTCAAATAGCAGTACTTTTAAAATAAATTGCGCCATACACTACTTTTGAGTTCATTATTGAATGTTGCGCATATCAATGAGATTAATTGCAGAAAATACATTTAGAATATCAATTTTTCAAGAACTAGTGTGTGGTTCCAATCCGTAATAAAAATTCTCGCTACCTCTTGTGTCCTTTCCTTAAGCACAAACTGTGACGGGGCGATGCTGATCACAGAGGGTTCCATAACTGATCGTGTTTGCACATCTGAGAAGGCCACAGCTTTGATGAAAGCTGCTCTGGAGCCAGTGTTCCTCACGCAAATACACACTTTACTGACACGACCGACAGCGATGTCAGTCAATGTTGCCACATAGCCGTCTGCCTGTTTTCTCTGGTCCTCCAGAATGATGTTGCTCGTCCCACCGTAGCCTGACAGTGGAATCTGAAGATAGGACACAAAGGAATCTAAGTAAAGCCAGTCTTTCAATAGAGATGAAGAAAACATGAAAAAGAAACGAGGCAGGAAAAGAGAGTAAAAATGGTCAGGTCTGACAGGGGTCACGTGCTCACAGTGAATTTGACCCCTGGCTGTGAAGGCCGGATTCCAGACTGTTTAATCTCCAGTTTGGCCAACATGCAGGCCACTCTGGTGGGAGCAAAGAGCAGGTGGACGGTCACATCTTCTCTGGGACGAATGGACAGCTCTCCATGTCGGGTCAGGCGCTCTTCAGGACTGAACATACTCTGCAGCTGAAAGAGAAACACGTTTTAATACGGTGTTACAGTGTAGGGTATTAGTCACATCATCATTTAGGGTTGTATAGCCGTTCTGTTTTATATAAACAACTATGGCACTATGACAGGATGTGCAAACACAAAAACAGGATGTGAGAAAGAAAAAAGAAAATAGAGATGAGATGTTTTCCAATTTGCAAATATTACAATCTACCTGAAAACAATCCTGGTCTTGACCACGGATAAGCAACCGTAGCTGCTGCGTGGCGTCGGTCGAATTGTTCCTTAAAACCAGCTTCTGTTGCCTGGAAAGCAATGGCAGATAAGTAATGTAATTTGTGTCCAGCAGTCCCATGTCAAACTAAATGTCTTTGACAAACTTTGATTTGATATTGAGTCATTATATTTATGTCCTGACTTCTGACCTAATAAGAAAGCTGAGCTAAACCTGGGTCCAAGAGAAAGAATGCATGCATTGTGTTTGGGAATTTTAGCTCCTTACTGCTGTCAGTACTTTACCTCCATTATGTTGCAATAGCTTCTGAGAAATAACACTCCCTATAGACTTCTGTCCCTTCTTATGAAAACCATTACACAAGATTTAATTTAAAAAAAGACGACTGGACTTCAGGTATTTTATAGATTACTTTTCAATGAATAATTGATTCCTATATAAGTGTTTTATTTAGTAACAAAAACAAATTATGAAATTAATGGAAAAGTTACTTACACAGCTCGTCCCAGAGTGACTCCTCCCCAGGCTACAAACTGTTTATTAGAGAGAATTGGTGGAACATCATTGGCCACAGCGGGAACAACGACATCAGCAGAGGGACTGGGAGCTTTCCCTGAGTCCTTTGGGACAACTTCGCCTTTCAGAGTTACCTCATACTGAGGACCTGATGGCAGCACCAAGATGGTGAGAAGGCTGCAACAAAACAAGCACCACCAAGTCAATCCAAATGGGTTGTAAAGATGGCCACTTAAGATGTGATGGTCCCCTCCTCTTCTCCTTGTACACAAACTCGCTCGGATCTGTCATTAGCCCGCATGGTTTTTCATACCACTGCTACGCTGACCACACCCAACTAATTCTGTCCTTTCCCCGCTCAGAGACCCAGGTCGTCGCACGCATCTCTGCTTGTCTAGCGTTCATCTCTCAGTGGATGTCTGCTCATCACCTCAAGCTCAACCTTGACAAGACTGAGCTGCTTTTCCTTCCGGGAAAAGATTGTCCCACTCTTGACCTAACAATCAACATCGGCACCTCTGTTGTTTCCCCGACTCAGACTGCAAGGAATCTGGGTGTGACAAGGAAACTGTCCTTCACTGCAAACATCGCTGCTACAACCCGCTGCTGCAGATACACGCTTTACAACATCAGGAGAATACGTCCCCAGCTTACCCAGAAAGCGACGCAGGTTCTGGTCCAGGCTTTCGTCATCTCACGCCTAGACTACTGCAACTCCCTCCTGGCTGGTCTACCTGCATGTGCCATCCGACCTCTGCAGCTCATCCAGAATTCAGCTGCTCGTCTGGTCTTCAACCTTCCAAGGTTTTCCCACACCACGCCGCTCCTCCGCTCCGTTCACTGGCTTCCAGTAACTGCTAGAATCCACTTCAAGACACTGGTACTTGCGTACCATGCTGTGAATGGATCTGGCCCTTCCTACATCCAGGACATGGTTAAACCGTACACCCCAGCACGTGCACTCCGCTCTGCATCAGCCAAACAGCTCGCTGCACCCACACTGCGAGGGGGACCCAAGTTCCCATCAGCAAAAACATGTGGGTTTGCTATCCTGGCTCCAAAATGGTGGAATGAGCTCCCCATTGAAATCCGGACAGCAGATAGCTTGCACATCTTCCGGCGCAGACTGAAAACTCATCTCTTTTGACTCCACTTCGAGCGATTGAATTACTAACAAAGCACTTATATACTAATAAAGGACTGGCTTATCTAAAGCCAGTTGAGTAGCACTTGAAATGTTTGGTTCTATGAAACCTGATGTACTTATATGATTCTGTTTTCTTCAAGGTTTTATCTTCCGGGTCGAATGTACTTATTGTAAGTCGCTTTGGATAAAAGTGTCAGCTAAATGTAATGTAATGTAATGTCTCCTTTTTATTTGCGAGATGCAGGGTGTACAGGAGGTTGTCCACTGTGCAAGTCTTTGTCATTGACACAGTTTGCTGTCCAATTGTTCCCTCTCCTCCCCCAATGGTGGACAGCATCCTTTTGCTTCCTTGCATCTGTATTCAGGACAGTTTTTGACTTTTTTCTCTGAGCAGTTGGGGAGTAGGGGGGCTGTAGTACTTCAACATTTGAAGGATGGGCAACAACAGTACAAAAAAAATTGTTTTGTCTCCTTTCTGGCAATGAACCATGGGACAACTCATACATGATCAACTCAGCATCGTGGGCAGCACAGAGGTGTATTAACTGTCAGCTGCCACGACCGCTGCCTTGGAATGAGAGTAAGGTTTTAAGATGATAATAAGTATAAAGGTTTTATAGCACATAAAGCGTTCACAAATCTCAAACTGTGTTATAAAGAATGTTTAGACCCTCTGGGATAATCCGAGGTCAAATTTGATGAGTGTAGTCTAGTGGTGTTCAGATCAGACGGGTAAGGGTGCGATGGTAAAAAAAGCACGTAAATCTCCCTTTTTTATTTCACAAT